GCCCGCGCCGCGCCCGGCCGCGACCGCGCGGCCGTTCGCGTCGTCCGCGGCGCCCGCGGCGGCGCGCGGCGGCGGCGCGCGCCTCGGCGCGACGCGCGTCGACGCGCCCGCGCCGCGCGCGACGGCGCCGCGCGAGGCCGCCCGGCCCGTGCGCGCGGCCGCGCCGCGGCCGGCCAAGGCCGAGCCGTCCTTCGAGGAGCGGTGGCTCGAGGACGTCGACGCCGCGCCGCCGCCGCCGCCGCCGCCGCCGCGCGGCGGCGTCGCGCTCACCGCGGAGCAGGCGCGGATCGTCGACGTCGGGCTCCGGGGCGAGAGCCTCTTCCTCACGGGCAACGCGGGCACGGGCAAGACGACGACGATGCACCGCCTCATCCTCGAACTCCGGCGGCGACAGCGCGGCGAGGGCCGCGTCTTCGTCACGGCCTCGACGGGCGCCGCTGCGGTCCTCGTCGGAGGCACGACGCTCCACTCCTTCGCGGGCGTCGGCCGCGGCGACGGCAGCGCCGAGCAGCTCGCGGCGAAGCTCTCGAAGCCCGCGCGGAAGCGGTGGCGCCAGTGCGCGTCCCTGGTCATCGACGAGATCTCGATGATCGACGGCGCGTTGTTGGACAAGATCGACGCCGTCGCGCGGGCCGCGCGGGGCAACGCGAGGCCCTTCGGCGGCGTCCAGGTGTTGGCGTGCGGCGATTTCGCGCAGCTGCCGCCCGTGCGCGTGACGCGCTTCGCCTTCGAGGCGGAGTCCTGGCGCGGCGCCTTCGGCGCTCGCCAGTACTGCCTGTCGGCCGTCTTCCGCCAGCGCGACGCCGGGTTCGTGTCCCTGCTCAACGAGCTTCGCGTGGGCCGCGCGTCGCCGAAGACCGTGAGAACGCTCGAGGCGACGGCGTCGAACGAGCTCAAGGACGGCGACATCGAGCCGACGAAATTGTACGCGACGAACGCGCAGGTCGACCGCCTCAACGCGTCGCGCCTCGACGCGCTCACGGGCGCGCCCGAGACCCTGCGGGCGCGCGACTCGGGCCAGGCGGACCGCTTCGTCCAGTGCCAGTGGCCCGAGGAGCTCGTGCTGAAGCCGCGGGCGCAAATCATGCTGTTGCACAATACGGACGTCGTCTCGGGCCTCTGCAACGGCTCGCGCGGCGTCGTCGTCGGCTTCGAGCGCGACGCCAAGTCGAAGCGGGTCACGGGCGTGCGCTGCCGCTTCGCGCGCGGCGGCGTCCACGTCGTCGAGCGCGAGTCGACGTCCGTCTACGAGGGCGACGCGCAGATCGCGTCGCGGTCCCAGTTTCCCCTCAAGCTCGCGTGGGCCGTCACGATCCACAAGTCCCAGGGCCAGTCCATCGACCTGCTCGAGGTCGACCTGCGGGGCTGCTTCGAGTACGGCCAGGCGTACACGGCGGTGTCGCGCGCGACGTCCATGGACCGGCTGCGCGTCGTCAACTTCGACGCGAGCGGCGTCAAGGCGCATCCGACCGTGCTCAACTTCCACGCGGCGCTGACGGGCGACCTGACGGCCGTGGCGGCGCCGGAGCCGGAGCCCGAGGACGACGTCGTGGACCTCACGGACTCGGCGAAGCCGGCGTCGGGCGGGGGCGCCTTCGTGGACCTCACGGACTCGGCGAAGCCGGCGTCGGGCGGGAGCGCCTTCGTGGACCTCACCGCCGACGCGCCCGCCGCCGCGAAGGCGCCGACGGCCCACTGGGACTTCGCGTCGGGCAAGCGGCGGCCGCCGCCGAAGCAGGCGACGTCGCTGCCCACGGGCGCCGCGGACTGCCTCGCGGGCCGCGTCTTCGTGACGACGGGCGTGCTTCCCTCCCTCGACCGCGACCAGGTGGCCCAGATCGTCAAGGCCTGCGGCGGCCGCGTGACGTCCGCCGTGTCCGGGAAGACGACGCACCTCATCGCCGGCGACGTCCTCGACGACGGCCGGCCGACGCACACGTCGTCGAAGTACGTCAAGGCCCAGAACCTCAACGTCGCCATCATCGACGAGGCCGCGTTCCGCGCGATGCTGGGTTAAGCCCGGGACTGACCTTTTTAAATCAATCAGGTTAGGCGGCGTGCCCCGCCTCCGCCGCGGCGACGAGGGGGAGCATGTCCGGGCACTGGTCCGCGGCCTTGTCGATGCTCGCGACGGCGAGGCACGCGTACTTGCGGACGTCCGCGGGCGACGGCAGCGCGAGGTCGAGGACCTTCGGCCGGTCCGCCTCGTGGGGCGGCGGCGCGAAGGCCGCGCGCGCGAAGGCCTTGGCCGTGGTCGGCGGCTCCGCGCAGAGCGCGTCGGCCGCGGCCCAGGTCTTGACGAAGAGGTCGTCGCCGCGCGACACGTTCCACGGCTGCGGCCGCGACAGGTTGAAGGCCGTCAGCTCCTGGAGCCAGGCGCACTCGAGGTTGTGCACCGACGAGTTGCCGCAGTAGGTCTTCAACGCCGCCGTGACGTTCGCGCAGACCGCGGCCGTCGCGGGCCACGCGCCGCAGACGGCCGGGACGTCGCGGATGACGTCCTGCGCGGCCTCGAGGCCGAAGCCGCCCTCGAGGCGCTGCAACGGCGTCGCGTCCGTTTCCGCGCCGCAGTCGCCGGAGTGGCAGTAGAGCTCGGCGACCTGCAGCGCCGCGTCGTAGATGGGCACGGGCGCGGTCGCGTTGCCCCAGCGCGCGGCGATCGCGTAGCCCGCGTCGCACAGCTTCTGGTAGTTCGGCCCCTTCTTGCAGACCTTCTCGTCCAGGGCGACCTTGATCGCCGCCTTGACGGCCTTGCACTCCAGGTAGTGCGGCAGGTTCCCCAGGGAGTAGGCGCAGTACTCCGTCCAGTGGCCGCGGTCGTGCAGGGACGCGTTCAGCGCCTTGCACGCCTTGGCGGCGACGGAGCCCTGTTTCACGCAGTAGGCGCTGACGTTGGCGGCGACGTCCTTGGCGAATCGTTTCGCGGTCGCGCACGTCTGCGCGTGGTGGACGGACGAGTTCGCGCAGTAGCGGCTCGGGTCGTCGTAGAACCGCTCCGCGGCCTCGCACGCCGCGGACCCCCCGCAGAGCTCGGCGGCCGCCTTCGTCGTCGGCGTCCCGAAGGCGCCGCCGGCCGCGCAGAGCGGGTCCGTCTGTCGCGCGCCGCACCAGGCCGCGAGCGCCGCGTCCACGGCCTCGCGCGGCGCGTCGTCGCCGCGCGCCTCTTCGACGAGCGCGACGTCGAGCGGCGGGAGCCCGCGAGACGCCGCCTCCGCGAGCGGCGCGCATCCGGTGACGTTGCGCGCGCCGCAATACGCCGTCGCGGCGGCGATGGACGCCGTGCGCGCGCGCCGGCAGTCCGCGCGCTTCTCCCGGCAGACGGCGGTCCAGGCGTAGGGCGCGGCCTCGCCGGCCGCGGCGGCGATGAAATGGCTCACCTCGGCCTGGGGCACGCAGCTCAATTTCTGGAAGTCGTGCTTCTCCACGGGCCAGACGACGCCGAGGGCCAGCGTCGTCCCCGCGAAGGCGAGCGCCGCGACGAAGACGAAGCGCCGGTACGCCGCCGACGACTCGGCGAAGCCGGCGCCGGCGTCGACCGGGGGCGCCTCCTCCTTGCTCTCCTCGAGGAGCGGGTTCACCGTGGCCTCGGCCATCGGGCTCTGGGGGAGTCTTCCCAGACGCGGGTGTCGCCGCGCACGGGGGCTGATGCGATTGGGGCTGCGGTCTTCTCGATTTTAGCAAGAGCTCGTTGAACGCACAGAGCAGTGCACTGCTGGCCTCTGGCGCAACTCGATGGCGCGCCCACATAGATGCGATGCGACCTGAAGCGCAGCCGCCGTGCAGGTAAGAGCGAACAACTTCGCGAATGATCGCGGCGCGGCTCCGCCTCGTCGTCGTCGCGAGCGCCGTTTGCGCCGCGCAGCTGCGCGGCGCGCAGAAGAGAGAGAGACTGCCGTCGCAGCAAAAGTCCATCGTCCTTATACTGGAAAACCTCGGCGACGCCGCCATCGACTGCGAGCACCCGGCCGTGCGCGTCGGCGCCGGCCGCGCCGCCACGATATCGGCCTTCGCCGTGCCGGCGCGCGTCGCCTGCGGCCACGTCTCCGCGGCCGTCGACGGCGACGGCTACGGCGCCGCGCGCGTCTTCCCGGAGTGGGTCGACGTCGGCGACGCGAACGCCGTCCAGCTCGAGCTGTCGCGCGCGGCGCACAAGTGCGCGTCGAGCCGCGACGCCCACGAGCTCGGCGTCTACGACGACTTCGAGGCCTGCGTCTTCGAGCTCGCCTACGGCGGCCTCGACCGCGAAGCCGCGCCGCGCGCGTGGCGCGACCTCTGGAGCGACGAACACTACTGGCGGCTCTGCGAGCGGCGGCGGCCCGCGGCGGCTTTGAGAACTTTCCCGAGCGAGGCGAGCCCGGGCCAGGACGTCGACGTGCTGCGGGAGGCGCCGTTCGTCGCCGCCGCGCGCGGCTTCCTGACCGAGGCGGAGTGCGCCGCCGTCCTATCGACGACGCCGGCCATCGCGAACCTCGGCCGCGCGCACGTCGGCGGCGGCGCGGGCAAGACGTCCTTCAGCGACGCGCGCGAGACGCTGTCGACGAACCTCTACGTGGACTGGGCCGCGGACGACGCGCCGGCGACGCGCGTCGCCGCGAAGACGGTGGAGCTCGCGTCCGAGCTCCTGGGCGAGACCATCCCCTACGAGGCGCAGGAGCCCATCAACTTCCTCTTCTACCGCGCGGGCTACGAGTACAAGCCCCACAGCGACGGCGCCGGCGGGAAACGCGGCAAGCGCGTCGCGACGACGCTCGTGTACTGCGACGCGCCGGCGAGCGGCGGGTCCACGGTCTTCACGGGGACCAGCGGCCTCCGCTTCGCGCCGAAGCGCGGCGACCTGCTCTTCTTCTCCTACGCCAACGGCGCGCGCGACACGACGCACGCCGCGTGCCCCGTCGCGGCGGGCAACAAGTCCACGCTCACGATGTGGCACCGCCTCGGCGTGTCGCCGGACGAGCCCTGGGACCGCTTCGAGAACTGGGGCCGCTTCGACCACCCCCACCTCCACTCGCGCTACCGGGGCAAGCCCTACCGGGAGCGCGTGACCGACGCCGCGGACCTGTAACGGCGCCTACCTCGCGTTGCTTCGGGGCGGCGGCGAGCCCTCGTGCCTCCGGCCGCACTCCGAGAGCGCCGAGGCGCCTACCTTACGGCCCGCGCGTCGAACTCCGGCGCGTAGTAGCGCCGCGGGTCCACGCTCGCGTGCGCCCGCGGGAAGAGGCCGAAGCAGGCCGAGTCCTCGCCGGGTTCTTGCGCGTCGGCTCTCATTTCCCTCTGCTCGTCGGCGACGATTTCCGCGAGCGGCGTGTCGCCGACGGCGCCGAAGAACGCCGCGACGGCCGCGCGGAGGTCCACGCGGCTGCCGAGCGTGCCCGCGTGGCCCGCGCCGGGCACGCGGTGCGCGGCCGCGCGGACGCCGCGGCTCGCCAGCGCGGCGACGACGCGCGCGGCCTCGTCGGCGCTCGGGAGCGTCCGGTCGTCGTCGCCGTAGACCACGAGGGTCGGGAGGGACAGGCCGTCGACGTCCACGCGCGCGGCGACGTCGAGCCACTCGCGCAGGCGCCAATCGAGCGTTCCCCGCGGCATGAAGGGGAGCCGCCCGGGGAGCGTCGTCGCGATCCTCCCCTGGTAGGCCTCGCGCCTCGGCGTGTCGATGACGCAGGGCAGGCGCCGCGACGACACGATCTCGACGAGCGCGGGCAGGCCTACCGAGGGCGACGGGGTCGGACTGTTTCTCGTTTCCCGGCCGTCGCTCGACGCTGGGGCAGGCCGTGTTTGTCGACGAATAGCGGCAGCAGAGAGATCAAACCAAATGGGTAGAGCAGCGCGGGCAGTTTCGCGACGCGCGGCGCGTCGCGGGCGAGGTTCGACCGGCCGTAGCACGTCGCGGGATTCACTAATACGACGCCGTCGACGGCCGCGCGGCCCGCGACGGCGACGGCGAGCGCGCCGCCGAAGCTCTCGCCGACGAGCAGCGCCGGCCGGCCGCGGCGCTCCGCGTCCACGTAGGCCGCGCAGGCCGCCGCGAGGTCCTCGAACGTCGACCGGTCGGCCGCGCCGACGGCCGCGCAGCGCACGTCGAAGCCCGCGTCGTGCAGCGCCGGCCACTGCAGGAAGGGCGCCAGCGCGTTGCCGTCGAAGCCCGGCAGGTAGACGAGCAGCGCGGGTCGCGATGCTGATGCAGATGCGTAGCCGTCGTCGACGAGCGGCGCCGAGAAGGACACGGCGCGCAGCGGCGCCGCGTGCCGTGGAGAGGTGCGCGGCGGCAGCAGCGCGCTGCTTTGCAGCGCGAAGAGGAGGAGCAAAGCACCAGCCATGGCTGCCACAAGATTCTGATCAGCGATTCTTTTGGTTTGCCACACCGACTGCAACCCTACTCGCTCTCTTTTGCGATGCGCGTGCATTAGCCCGACAAAACCGCACCGCGCGCATCGGAATCGATCGAAGAGACGCGCCGAGCAGAGCGCATCACCCAAGGAAGCGATTGGGACGCGCGGCGCACGCTAAAACTGCAGCCATGGACGCGACACCCGCGAAACAACGCTGCCCGCGCCTGCGCGCGACGCTGCGCTGGCTCGCGTTCTACGTCGGCGTCTACCTCTGCCTCTACGGCGCCTTCTGGGTCGTCGACGCGCGCTTCCAGCTCGGCGCGGACCAGCAGGCGTCGCTCGACGCGCTGCGCGCGGACCCGGCGGCGTTCGTGTGGTACACGCTCGAGCTGCCCGACAGCGAGCGGTCCAAGTCGCCGCTCGCGCTCGGCGACAGCGACGAGTCCGTCGCCGAGGCGTTGATCCGCCGCTGGCGCGCGCCGCGCCAGAGCGACGACGGCGGCCGGGCCGCGGACGACAGCGACTTCGCGGCGCTCTTCATGCTCGCGTACGGCGCGTGGACGTCGAGCCTCGACGCCGCGGCCGCGGGGCGGCTGCTCAAGCGCCACTGCGGCGCGCGCGAGTTCGAGGACATCGTCGCGAAGCGGTCGGACCCGGCGGCCTGCGGGGGCGCGGCGCCCGCGGAGCCCGGCGCGTGCCGCGGCGGCTACTACGCCGACGACGCGGGGCTCGCGCGGACGTGCCCCGACGGCACGTTCTGCCCCAACGGCCAGACGTGCTTCGTGCTCTGCGCGCGCGGCGCCATGTGCAACGCGTCGCGGCCGCTCTCCGGCGTCGTCGCGAGCGCGCGCGACCCGGGCCGCGACGACCCGGCGCTCTGCGGCTACCCGCGCGGCGCCGCGGCGACGGAGCCGCGGTCGCCGGAGACGGGCAGGTGCCCCGGCGCGGCGCACCTGACGCTCTGCCCGACGGGCTACTACTGCCGCACGCCCGTCGAGATCGAGCGGTGCCCGCCGCGCCACTTCTGCGCGCTCGGAAGCGACCGGCCGACGAAGTGCCCGTGGTTCGGCGACTGCCGCAGAGGCGGCCTCGACCGGCCGCGGTACCGGCGCTGGTTCAGCGCCTTTTTGTGGGCCGCGGGGATCCTATTGACCGCGGGCTACTACGTGGCGAGTCTGGCGAGGGAGCGCATGCTGCGGCGATTGGACGACGCGCTCGCGGATTTGATCGAGCTCGCGCGGCCGTTCGCGCCGCGGCGGTCGGACCACCGCGCGTCGCCGCTGGGCGCCTTCGACGAGGAGGCGCTGCCGAGGGCGGCGCCGGTCGTCGACGTCGAGTTCGCGGACGTCACGGTCGTGTTGCCCGGCGGCCGCGTCGCCGTCGACGGCGCGACCGGCGCGTTCCGCGCGGGCCGCGTCACGGCGATCCTGGGGCCGTCGGGCGCGGGCAAGTCGACGCTCCTCGACCTCGTCGTCGGCCGCGTGCCCGCGGCCGGCGCGGCCGTGGCCGGCGGCGTCGCCCTGAACGGCCTGGCGCCGCGCGACGTGTCGCCCGCGCTCGTCGGCGCCGTGCCCCAGGACGAGCACTCGCTCCTGGGCTGGCTCACGGTGCGCGAGCTCGTGCGCTTCTACGCGGCGATCCGCGAGCGCCGCGAGCGCGTGCCCGCGGGCGAGTCGCGCGCCGCGGCCGCGCGGCGCCGCGAGCGGCGCGTCGCGCTCGTGCTCCGCGAGCTCGGCCTCTACGGCGAGCGCGACGCCTACGTCGGCGTCGCCGGCGACGCGCGGCGCCGGGGCCTGAGCGGCGGCCAGCGGAAGCGCGCGTCCGTCGCCGTGGAGCTCGTCGCGGACCCGTCCGTCCTCGTCCTCGACGAGCCGACGTCCGGTTTGGACGCGTCGACGGCCGACGCGGTGCTGTTGGCGCTGAAGAACGCGGCGGCGCGGGGCGTCTGCGTCGCCGCCGTGCTCCACCAGCCCAGCGCGCGCATGTGGCGCTCGGTCGACGACGCGATCATCTTCGCGGCCGCGGGGCGCGTCGCGTACGTCGGCGCGGCGGCCGCGGCGGCGGCCGCGTTCGAGCGCGCCTGCGGCGCCTTCTGCGTCCGCGACCCCGGCGACGCGCCGCCGGACTACGTCCTCGAGTGCGTCTGCCACGGCGGCTTCGACGGCGCGGCTGTGGTGTCTGTGAAACGTGCGGCACGGCCACAACCAGCAACGGCCGCGGCGACGGCCGCGGCGCTCGCGGCGGCGTCGCGGTCCGTCGAAGCCCCGGGCGCCCGGGACCAGTTCCTGCTCCACGTGCCCCGCGCGGTGCTCGCGCTCACGCGGGCGCCTTCCGAGTTCGTCTTCGAGGTCTCCGTGCAGCTCGCCGCGGGCGCGTTCCTCGGCGCGCTGTACCCGCACTTCGAGTTCGGCGACTCGCAGCAGGTGGCCTTCATCCTCCAGCTGAGCCTCGGCGGCACGATCGCCCTGTCGAGCGCGCGGACCTTCGGGACGACGCGCCAGGCGCTCTGGCGGGAGCTCGCGCCGAACCTCGGCGGCATGGGGCTGGGCGCGACGCCCATGTTTGCGGCGACGTGCCTCGTCGAGCTGCCGCGCCTCGCGCTGCTGACGCTGGCCTTCCTGTCGACGTGGTTCCCGACGGCGAGCCCGCGCTGCGCCTTCGCGCGCTACTTCGCGCCCTGCTTCGGCGCGGCCCTCGCGGCGAGCGGCGCCGCGCACGTCGCGCACGGGGCGGCACAAGAGGGCGACATTCCCAACTTCAACGGCTCCGATCTCGGCCGTTTTCCACTCGTTTCGGCTGATTTTTGGACGAACGATCATCTCTCGGAACGGTTTCGAAGCGTGGATGCTGTTTCCGGAACGCGCGCGCGCGAAACACTCACGTTGAAGCGACGTTGAATCTCTCGTTTCCCGCCCAGGTCGCGAACGTCGCGCAGGAGCCCAAGTCGGCGCAGCTGTCGAGCGTGAGCTTCCTGGTCGTCGCGGCCATGTTCAGCGGCGTCGCGCCGCGTTTAGGCGAGCTGAGGAAGCTCGGGCCCGCCGCGCGGCCCGTCGTCTGGGGGTCCTACGCGCGCTGGTTGGTGGAGGCGCTCTACGCGGCGGAGATCTCGGCGCTGTCGACGGCCTGGCGCATGCCCCCGGCCTTCTACAACCGGCCCCGCGCCGAGAGCGCGCTCATGGGGCTGCTGCTCTACGACTACGTCGCCAAGTCCGCGGCGCTCAACTGCGCCGTGTTGGTGCTGCTCGGCGTCCTCTTCCGCCTCGTCGCGCTGTTGGCGCTGAAATGCGCGAACCGGGACCGCATGGGGCTCCGGTCGCCGCACCACGCGCTCCTCGACGCCTACGCCGCGGCGCGGGGGGGGCTGCGGCGCTGCCGGGGCGCCAAGGGGCCGAGCGGCGGCGGCGCGGCGGTCCAGCTCAGCGACGTCGTCGCGCGGCCGACGGCGCGCCGGCCGGGCGAGGCCTCGTCCCTGTTGGGGGAGGCGCGCCTGAACCGGGTCGTGTAACTTCGGGGTCTTTTCCGCGGGGAGGCGCGCCTGAACCGGGCCGTGTAATTTCTGGGTCTTTTCCGCGGCGCGATGCAGCGCCGCACGCGCCCGACCAAAGTCCCGACCGGTCCCAACCATCAAGAACCATGCGCTTCGCGCAGGTCGACATTGAATCGTCTCTCACTTCGTCTCTCAATCTTGGACTAGTTCATGAAACTCATGAGCGAGATATTGCCAGATACGCAAAGTGGGTTGCCCAGACTAAACGCGCTCTCCATGGGAATGGTGGAATAACGTGGTACCATGAGCCATAATTACACGGTCGTGCTGGACGCGGACGACTACGGCGACGACCGCCTCTTCTCGCGGGCCGGGCACCTCGTGCCGGCGTCGCCGTTCGTGCGCTTCGTGGCGACGGTCGCCGTCGCCGGGCTGGGCGTCGCGCTCATCGCCGCGGCGCTCGTCGCGAGCGACTGGTCCGAGCGCCTGCGGTCCGCGGCCCGCGCGCGGGCGCTGCGCCGGGCGGCGGCGCGACGGCCGAGGAAGAAGCCCAAGGCCGAAACGAGGGACCCGATTCTCGCCGCGCTGGGCGCCGTCGAGGACGCCGTCACAGAGGCGCCCGCGGTCAACTACGGCGACGTGCGGGGCGTCGTCGACGCCTTCGGGCGCGACGCCGCGGGGCCGCTCCGCGCGCTCGCCCGCGAGGAGCTCGACGCCTTCGGCCACTACGAGAGCGCGGGCCTGGGAGCGCTCACCGCGGGTTTGGGCGCGCCCGCGTCGCCGCGGAGCCCGACGAAGATCTCGCCGCTCTGGCAGGGCGGCGAGGCGGCCATGACGCGGGCGGAGCTCGCGCGCGAGCACGCGCCGGGCGGCGTCGTCTTCGCGTCCAAGCACTTCCACGTCGACAAGTACGCGCCGGACGACGAGCGGACCGTGCTCCTGCTCCGGCGCGACGCGGCCAAGCCCTGCGAGGTCTTCGTGAGCTCGCGCGACGACCTCTGCGCCGCGCGGAGCGGCGTCCACTTCGCGGCCATTCGGCGCGAGCCCGTGCGCTTCCGCAAGGGCCAGCACGCCGCGCGCGTCGCCGTCGATCCCGCGGCGACGCGGTCGACGTGGGACGGGCCCGCGTCCTTCTACCTCGTCATCGACGGCTGCGGCCGGAGCACCTTCGACCTCCAGCACTGGACGACGTGCCGCGTGACGATCCTCAGCGACGACGCGTTCCCCCGGGGCCGCGACGAGATCGCGGGCTCGCGCGCCGACGGCTCGTCGCCGTTCCTCTGGCTGCTCCGGGCCTTCTACGAGGCGCTGAGCGAAGACCTCGCGGCGGCGGTGCCCGGCGGCTTCCGGCGGCCCCTGGGCGAGGCCTGCGTCGGCGCGTTTCTCGGCGCGGTCTTCGCGTGCGGCTTCGCGCCCTTCGCGGTCCGGCGCTGCCTCCTCGCGCTGGCCGACGACGGCGACGGGCCGGCCCAGGCGCGCTTCTACGGCGCCCTGGGCCTGTTGGGCACGGCGCTCCTCGAGCGCTGCTACCGGGCGCCCCGGGGCGAGGGCGCCCTGGAGCGGGCCTTTTCCGTGAAGCTCGCGCGGTCGCTCGCCGACGGCGACTACCTCGACGCGCGCGACGCCGACGGCGCGCGGCGGAGGCTCGCGCGGCTGCTCGACGACGTGGAGCCCCTCGTGGCCAACGCCTGGCGGTCCGTCTTCGACCTCGCCCAGGCGCTCGCCTTCGTGGTCGCGGCGCCGCTGTGCTCGGCGGCGCTCGCTCCGCGACAGCCCTACGCGTTCCCCGCGATCTGGGCCGCCGTCGTCGCGCTGGCGGCCGCCGGCCGCGCCTGCGCAAACCGGCCGCGCCTCGCCGCGGTCTACCGGGACCGGCGCGACGACGCGCGGCGCCTCGCGGGTGGCCTCGCGGCGGACCGGCGCCAGGCGTCGACGCTGCGGCTCGGCGACGGCCGCGTCGCCGCGTTCAACGTCGCCTACGGCGCGCGCCTCGCGGCGCGGCGCGACGTCGAGGCGGCGGCGGCGTCGTCGTCGGGCGCCGCGGCCTTCGCCGCCGCCGCGGCGCTCTGGGGGCTCGCGGCCGCGGCGCCGGCGCTGGTCCGCGACACGTCCTTGGCGGCGGACGACGTCGCCGTCTTCGGCTACCTCGCCGCCGTCGTGGGCGCCGCCCTCGTCGCGGCCAACGGGAGCCTCGACCGGCTCCAGGCGGGCCAGGCGCAGGTCGAGGCGCTCGCCTTCGCCGTCGCGCGCGACGACGACGCGGTCGCCGCGCGCGCGGAGCGGCGCCGCGCGTCCTCGGAGCGCGCCGCGTTCTACGAGGCCATGCTCTCCAGCGGCCACCCCGTCCACCTCATATGCGACGCCATCCACCTGAGCGCCTGCACGGGGCTCCGCGTGCCGAAGAAGTGGGGCCGCTTCGACGCGGCGCTCGCGGGCGACGCGGGGCTCGTTCGCTGCGACTTCTCGATCCCTCTTGACGGCCGCGTCTTCGGCCTGCCGGCGCCCGAGGGCCACGCGCGGGCGCGGGACACGGCGCTGCTGTGGCTGCTGTCGGGCGCCGTCCGGCCGCGCGAGGGGGCCGTGCACCTGCCGCCGGAGGCGTCCGCGGTATTGGTGCCCGAAGAGCCGACGCTCGCCTACGGGCCGCGGCTGCTGGACAATCTGCGGGCCGCCTGCGGCGACGCTTTGACGTCGGGCCTCGAGGACGCCCTGGTTTTTGATGTTTGCGAGGCGCTGGGCATGCGGCGGAGTTTGTTGACGGCGGCCGCGGCCGCGGACGCGGCGACGCTCACGGACGAGGACGCGGCCGCGTTCGCCGTCGCCGCGGCGCTTTTGGCGAACCCGGACATCGTCGTCCTCGAGACGCGCTGCGTGTCCCACAAGCTCCTCGAGGGGCTGAAGCGCTACGTCGACGGCGACCTGCTGCCCCACGCGCCCCACAGCCTCCGCGCGGCCGGCGCGTCGCGCGCGGCGTTCGTCCGCGTGCCGAAGGACCTGACCTTCGCCGTCGACGCGTGCCTCGTCTTCGACGACGGCGGGGACAACGAGGCGAGCCCGGGCCGCGCGTCGCGGCCGACGGCGCTGCGGCTCGTGCCCACGCGGCGCGCGTCCGTCGTCGGCTCCGAGGCGCTCGCGACGCCCGTCGCGGGGCAGACGACCTACGTCTGCGAGCGGGGCTGCGGCTTCGCCGGGTCCTTCGAGGCCTGCGGCGCCCACGAGGCGGCGTGCCTCTACACGGGGCCGCCCGTGGCGACGCCGCCGCCGGGCTACCGCAAGAGCCTCTACCGGCCGCCGACGCCGCTGCCGACGCCGACGCCGTCCGTCGGCGAGCCGTCCGCGCGGTCGTCGTGCCCCTCCGAGGGCGCGCCGTCGCCGCGGTCCGCGTCGCCGGAGGCGGACGCCGCCGGCGGCGACGCGCCCGCGGACCTGCCCGCGGAGCCCGTCGAGGCGCCGCCGGACGAAGGCGCCGGCGGCGCCGTCTTCGCGCCCGTCGACGGCGTCGAGTTCTACTACTGCGACAAGGGCTGCGGCTTCAAGGGCGCCTTCGCCGAGGTCGCCGCCCACGAGGAGGACTGCGACTACGACGACGACGCGAGCGGCGGCGACGACGACGACGGCGGCGACGACGACAGCGTCGTCATGTCGCCCGCGGACCGGAAAAAGGCACTCGCGCGCTTTGAGCAGGCCGGCCAGGAGCAGCAGCGCGCATCGCAGCTGGCCGCCGCGGCGACGAAGGCGTCCTTCAGCAAAGGGGACGACGGCGACAAGGCGAAACTGCGCATCTCCTTGGGCAAGAGCCCGAAGCCCGCGGCGAAGTCGCCCGCGGGAAGCCCCGGCGCGCGGACCTTCCGCATGCGGCCGTCGACCTACTCGCCGGCCGGCGGGGCCCGGTCCATGGCGCCGGCGAGCTCCACGGCGGCCTCGCCGTCGCGCCTCGGCGGCCGGACCTTCAAGATGAAGCCGTCGACGTACGCGCCCGGCGGCGCCGCGAAGGGCGCCGCCGGCGCCGCGGCGCGCGACAAGATGAAGAAGATGACGCTGCGCATGAAGCCCGGCGACTTCGGGCCGCGCAAGCCATCCCCGAAGATCGTCGCCATCGACGAGGAGTCGCCCGTGGAGACGCCGCGGACCGAGGCCTACGGCGCGTCGTCCCCCGCGCCCGTCGACGGCGTCGAGACCTACAACTGCGACCGCGGCTGCGGCTTCCGGGGCACCTTCGACGAGTGCGTCGCCCACGAGGCGACCTGCGCCGGCGCGCCGCCCGCCGGCGGCGTCCAGACCTACTACTGCGAGCGCGGCTGCGGCTTCGCGGGCGACTTCGCGGAGGTCACGGCGCACGAGCTCGGCTGCGCCTTCGGCGCGGCCCAGCCCGAGGTGTCCGCCGGCGCCGTGACGGCGCCCGTGCCCGCGCGCTGCGAGCACGCGCCCTCCGCGCCCTGGCGGCCCGCCGGCGACTCGACGAAGTGCCCCGTCGTGCCCCCGCTCGCGAACCTGCCCGCCGGCGGCGACGGCGCGGCGCCCGCCGGCGGCGACGGCGCGGAGACCGGCGCCTACATGTGCGAGCGGGGCTGCGGCTTCGAGGGCGGGCTCGACGCCGTCACCGCCCACGAGGCCTCGTGCGCCTACGAGCCGGGCGCGGCCGAGGAGGCGTTCTCCTGCGAGCGCAAGTGCGGCTTCTCGGGGACCTACGAGGCCTGCGTCGCCCACGAGGCCCGGTGCACCTTCGGCGACCCGCCGCCCGCGGCCGTCGAGGAGGGCGGCCGCGAGTCGAGCCCGGCGCCGCGCGGGCGCGACGCGAAGCCCGAGGCGCCCCCGGCGGCCGCCGAGGAGCCCGAGCCCGAGGCCGAGCCCGAGCCCGAGGCCGAGCCGGAGCCCGAGCCCGAACCGGAGGCGGAGGCGGAGGAGCTCTACGAGTGCCAGAACTTCTGCGGCTTCCGGGGGAACTTCGACGCCTGCGTCGCCCACGAGGCCCAGTGCACCTTCTCCAAGGACGCCGAGGCGCCGGACGCCGAGGCGCCGGACGCCGAGGCGCCGGACGCCGAGGCGCCGGACGTCGAGGCGCCGGACGTCGAGGCGCCGCGCGCGGACGTCGAGACGCCGGCGAAGGCGGCGATGCCGACGCGCGCCGCGCCGCCGGCGCCGGACGCGGCCGCGGCGACGCCGCCGCCCCGGCGGCTCGCGCCGCTCGGCGGCGACGCGGAGGGCGGCGCCGCGACGCCCGCGGACGACGTCGAGGCCGCGAAGCAGCGGCTCGCGCTCCGGCGGCAGCAGAGCCTCGAGCGGTCCGCGAAGAAGAAGCGCAAGGTCCGGAAGAAGAAGGGCTAGGCGCCGCGCCGTAATACTGCCTGTCTCGCCTTAGGAGAACCTAGGCCCGCTTCGTGAACTCCCAGAGGGCGATGGTCGCGCCCTCGGGCAGGGACGCCGGGTCGTCCGGCTCGAGGGCCTTGGCGTCGTCCGGCGACATGCGGAGGGACCGCTTCGCCCAGCCGCGCTCCTCGAGGGCCGCGAGGCACGCGTCCTCCATGAGGCGCAGGTTCGGGTCCCGCGTCGCCGCGAAGAGGAAGCGGAGCTTCGGGTTGAGCGCGGCGAGCGCGTCCAGTCCCACGCCGAGGCGCGTGCACTCCCAGGGCGAGAAGAGGAGGTCGGAGCCCAGCACGATGTCGACGCCCGACGCCGCGATGCGCTTCGGCAGGGGCGCGCCCCACTCCCAGTCGAGGGCCGCGGCCTTGGCGACGACGCCGTTGTACATCGCGTCGACGCGGAGCGCCGCGACGCTCTCGGGGTGGTCGTCCGTGAAGAAGACCGCCGACGCGCCGAGCTTCGCGGCGTTGAGCCCCGCGCAGCCGTCGCTCGCGCCGACCTCGACGACGCGCGCGCCGTGGAGCTCCGCGCGGAACGACCGCGCGAGCGTCAGCGCGAGCGCGTGCGCCGCGCGGCCGCTCGTCGTCCCCGCCTCGACGTCGTACTCGCGGACGAGCGCCTCCCCCCGCTGCACGCGCCGGAAGAGGCCGGGCGTCGCGCAGGGCTGCTCGACGACCTGCTCGGAAGACGCGACGGACGGCGCCGGCTCCCGCGGCGCGTCGCCGGCGTCCGGCGCCGCCCCCGGCTTGGGCTTCTTGGCCGGCGGCGCGTCGGCGCCGCTCCGCGGCGAGCCGGACCGCGACCGCGACGTGATCGGGCTCTTCGTCATCGACGCGATGCGGTTGCGCCTGGGCGAGTGTCGACGTCGCTGGTGCGCTGGGCGAATGTCGACGTCGCGCGGTCGATCGCAGCCTCACATCGACCGTCTGGGAAGCGCTTCGTGCCGTGCATGTTGCACTTCAACACTTCCCAGGACGCGTCCCCGCGCGCGCCCCGAACGGACCCACCCCCGCTACTTTAGTCGCCCGCGTCCTCGGCGCGCTGGAAGACCTTGACGTAGGCGACGGCCATCTCCGCCGGGCAGGCGTCGTCTGCGATGCCGCGGCGGCCGCCCCAGGAGCCGCCGACGGCGACGTTGAGGATGAGGTGGAAGGGCTCGTCGAAGGGCCACTGCTCGTGGCCCTTGTGCTCGTTGGCGTACGTGTAGAACTTGCGGTCGTCGACGAAGAAGTCGAGGCGCTCCGCCGTCCACTCGACGGCGTAGACGTGAAAGTCGTCGTGGCAGTCGCGGACGCCCGCGACGCGGCGGTTGTGGTTGCCGCGTCGTCTGTGGTTGTGCTCCGTGTGGACCGACGCGCGGATGACGCCCGGCTCGTAGCCGACGTTCTCCATGACGTCGATCTCGCCGGACTTGGGCCACTTGCCGAATTTCGAGGCCGAGGGCATGAGCCAGATCGCGGGCCAGAGGCCGCGCTTCCCCGGCGTGAGCCGCGCGCAGACCTCGACGCGGCCGTAGCGCCAGCGGCCGTTGGCCGCGGACCGCGTCGTGAGCCGCGCGGACGAGTAGGCCTGGCCGCCGCTCGCTTCCTTCGCCGCGCGGATCAAGAGGCGCCCGCCGGCCACGCGGGCGTTGTCGCGCGACGCGTCCGTGTAGTGCTGCCGCTCCGCGTGGACCGCGTTGTTCACCCAGGCGTTGCAGTCCGTCTGGTGCTCCCACCGCGCGGGGTCCGGCGGGCCGTCGCGGTCGAACGCGTCGGCGAAGACGAGGCGCCAGGGCCGGCCCGTCGCCGCGCCGAGGTCGTCGAGCTCGCCGCGGCTGCGCCGCTGCCACTCCCAGGCGCTCAGGGACGTCCGGGCCTCCGAGGGGTCCGCGGTGTCGTCGAAGACCTCGGGCCGCTCGGCCGGCTCGACGAGGAGCTGGGCCTCGGGCGTGCCCACGAGCATGAACTTGTGCTGGGGCAGCTTGAGCACGAGGTCCCCGAGCACGCTCGCGTCGCTGACGCGGCCCTTCTGGGCCTTGAGGCCCGCGACGCGCTGCCGCTCCGGCGGCACCGTCGTCTCCGACTCCAGGATGATCTTGAGGTCGCCGACGGTGAGGCTCGCGTCGACGCAGAGGTCGATCTCCTGCTTGTTCCACTTGGCCACGAGCAGCACGCGCCGCGGCGCCTCGTCCTCGTCGGCCTCCGCGGCGTCGGGCGCGGTCGGCGTGGGCAGGGCGGGTGCGACGGCCTCTTTGGGCTGCTTCGGGTGGTCCTTGGCGAGGGGCGCCGGCGTCGGCGCTGCCGTCGTCGCGACGTCCATGAGCTGCGTCGCCGCGTCGGGCGCACCCATCGGCGGGGTTCGACGCCGCTGCAACCGGCGGCGCGATCTCAACGCGATCGAGGCAAGGGGTAATAAATAGTACTAGAGGGGTAATAAATAGTATGGGGTGGCAGCTCAACGAGATTATGTTGCGCGAGCTCCTCGTACTGCAACCCATCGTTTTGGGGCAATGTTGACGACTTTTGGCCGGGGACTTTTCGACGCCGCCGTCGTCGACGCGGCCCCAGACGGACCGCAGCGGTATTCGCTCCCCCGCGAAGGCGCCCGCGACAAGACTTACGCGTCCGGGCGGTTCGGGTCCGGTGGAAGGAAACCGAGGCGCGCTGGAGGGCACCGTGTCCGGTTTGGCGCCACGCGAGGAAGGGGGTTTTGGGGCAGCTCTTGGACGTGTTCGCGATGATGATGGTCGTGGACCGTCTGCTGGCGCTGCAGAGCCCTTCGTTGGTACCTATGGATGGGCTCGAGCATCTCAGGACACGAAAAGTTCTCGACCTCGAATGCCCGCACGCTGCCCGAGAAACTGTGTTGCGACACCGTCGGCGCCGGGGCTGCGCAGGCTCTGAGATCGTGGGAAAAGTGTGTCCTGAAGGTTTCGAGCCCCCCGCGGGTACCCATAGGGCGCCTCCAACCTCTAAGGACAAGAAAATATCGCACACTCGACTCACACCGCCGCCCTCTCGTCCCGCCGCCGAACAACCGTCGCGCTCGCGAGCCAACGCAATGATCTCAGCAGCCCAAATTCGCTGCCCCGCCCCGTCGAAGGGTTCCGCAGCCGCGCCGCGCCGCGCGACCCGCCATCGTTGCACTCAGCCCGCGCGCTGCGGCGTGGAAGAAGAAAGAAAACGCTAGCGGCGGCCCCGAGTAGTACGAGGACCTCGCGTTTCGCCTGCCACCCCATCTAGATTTATATCCCCTTGATCGAGGGCTGCTCTGGGGGCAGCTTTGACCTTCGCCAGGACATTTGCCACTGTATTTGCCACAAGGTGCTCTGCCACAGCTCGAAGCATCGGAGCGCCACACCGACGTCCGAACGTGTCATGGCCATGCAGGCGCTGGAGCGGACCCTCTACCGATCCATCTTGCGCCTCACGCGCGAGCTCGAAGCGCCGTCGCGCCGCGGATCGCTGAGCGCGTGCCCGGAGAAATACTTTAGCCGCTCGGAGGGCAAGGTCGTGCCGCTGCCCCGCGAGGCGCGGTCCGCCGGCGACGAGGCGCGCGCGGCCGACGACGCCGTGGACCATCTCGTCTTCCGCGCGAACGGCGGCTCCGAGTTTTACACGCCGCACCGCTCGCGGTCGCTGCGGGCCGTCGCGACGGCGGCGGCGCGCGACGCCGCGACGTACGCCGGGCGCTTCGACGCCGCGGAGCTGGGCATGGCGGCCGTGCGCCACCTCGGCAAGGCCGCGGCGATCTCGTCGTCGCTCGCGCGGCGCGACGCCGCCGTTGCCGCGCCGTCCGCCGGCGTCGCGCTGCGCGAGGCGACCGCGGACGACGCTCTGGTCGGCTCCGTGCTCCTGTCGCACCCCATGGCCTGCCTGAGCCAGCCGACGCTCCACGGCGCCGTCGTCGTGCTCGTCGCCGCGGAGGAGTCGAACGGCGGCTCGTCGGACGGCGAGTTCGTCATGGGCGTCGTCGTGAACAAGCGCGCGGGCCTCGGCCTGCGCGACGCGGCGACGGAGCACGGCGCGGCGCTTCTGGGCGACGCCATCCTCGACGCGGACCTCTACGTCGGCGGCGACGTCGCGACGCAGACGCTCACGGCCGTGCGGGCGCCGGGGTTCGCCGGCGACGGCGCGGCGGCGCCGCCGTGGTTCACGCACGACTTGGCCGCGGTCCGCGAGGCCATCGAGCGGCGCGGCCTCGAGGACTACAAGATCCTCTGCGGCTACTGCGGCTGGTCGCGGGCCCAGCTCCTCAACGAGCTCGACCGCTCCGTCTGGTTCCGCGCCTGCGCCGACGCGCCCGAGGCGCTCGCGCTCGCGGACGCGCCCGGCGACGCGCTCTGGCGCGGCGCGCTCTCCGCGCTCTCGCCGGCCCACGAGGACCTCTCGAAGCTCGCCCACGCCCACGGCGACGTCATCGCGAGCCTCGGCGAGCTCGGCGCGGGCGACTGCGACGCCTAGGGTAGCTCGGGCTCCAGCCAACGCCGCGCGCACCATCACGGGGAGTATTCGGAGAGCGCGGCGTGGGCGCTGCGGGACTTGCGGATGATCTCGGCCCAGCCGAGCTTGTTCGCGATCTCGCGGACGTCGGCCTGGAGCTGCTTCCGCGTCGCCCGGAGCCGCGTGCCCGTGGACCGGTTGACGATGAGGAGGTAGAGGGGCCCGATGGACGACGCGACGGAGAGGAAGGACTCGGACGCGTAGATGGACGTCGCGGACACGAAGGGCATGAAGAAGAAGTAGAGCACGGCCTCGGGGAAGCCGTAGAGCGCGTAGACGACGGCCGTGTACGTGAGGTGGAGCGCGGGGATGAGGATCATGCCGCAGAGCACCTTCCACGTCGCGAGCACGTCGTTGCCCCGCAGCTTCACGCGGCTCCCGGCTAAGGCGACCTTGGCCTTGTGCCTCGAGATCGCGTCCGTAAACACGAGGAGCGGCGACGCCAGCAGCAGCCCCGGGAAGATGGCCAGGCTGTAGGCGAAGAGGATGGTCACGCGCAGCCCCAAAATCGCCAGGGCGTCGAAGCGGTCCACGACGTCGTCGTCGGCGCCGCCCAGCAGCACCTGGCGGTCGTGGATGTTGTAGTGCTTGAGCGTCTCGTGGTACTTCTCGACGCGGACGACGACGTCGCGGACCTCCGGGTGCGCGCCCTCGTCGCGCTCCACGGACGCCGCGAAGCCCCGCGTCAGGGCGACCTTCTCCTCCAAAGTCAGCCGCTTCCCGTCGGGCACGTAGAGCCGCCGGAGCATCCAGAAGATCTCCGCCATGTCACTCGACGGCGCCTGCACCGTCACGGCCTTGACGGCCGTGAGGATCTCCGCCATGAGCGCGTCGCCGGCGCCGCGCTTGTCGCCGCCGAGGTAGCGGTCCACGAGATCCCGCGACACCTCGAAGGGCTCGCCGTAGTCGACGAAGACGCGGCTCCGGAACTTGTGGCCCGAGAAGTAGTTGAGGCCGACGGCGGCGATGCGGAGCCGCGACCGCAGCGCCTCGCCGTGCTTCGCGCAGGCGCCCAACGCCATCACGGCGATGCCCGCCTTCAACGGTAAGAGGCTCGACCGGTCGTGGGAGCCGCCCTCGGGGAAGATGCCGATGACGCCGTTGTCGTCCAGCGCGTCGTAGATCGCGTCGTACATGTCGTGCTGGTCCACCTGGGCAGGAAAAGAGAGATTCAATGTCGCTTCAACGTGAGTGTTCCGCGCGCGCGCGTTCCGGAAAAAGCATCCATGCTTCGAGGCCGTTCCGAGAGATGATCGCTCGTCCAAAAATCAGCCGAAACGAGTGGAAAACGGCCGAGAGAGGAGCCTTTGAAGTTGGGAATTTCGCTCTCTTTTCCTGCCCTGTGGTCCACCTTGGGCATGACCTTGAAGGCCGCGTCCTTGACGTCCGCCGCCGTCGCGTCGGGGTTCGCGTCGGACCCCCGGAAGGCCGGCGCGGCGCAAACTAGTAACTCGTCGGAGACGACGTCCGCGACCTTGGCGAGCGCGCCCTTGCACGCGCCCGCGGAGATGAGGAGCTGGTCCCCGGGCTTCACCTGCTTTACAAAGGCCGTGCCGCTGCCGTGGACGTGCACGGCGCCGCCGTCGGCCGCCGCCGCGGCCTTCGCGAGCTTCCCGGCGCCGACCGCGGCGATGTCCTGCGCGCGTTCCACGGGGACGCAGTCTAAGCCGCGCGCGAGCGACGCGACGATGTCCGCGGGGCCGCCCTTGAAGCGCATGGACTTGGCCGCGCAGAGGAAGCCGATGTTGCGCTCGAAGGTCTTGAGCACGATCATGGGGTCGATGAACTGGTTGCTGTGCGGCGCGATCGCGACGAGGAGCGGGCAGTCGCTCGCGTTGAGCTTGTGCGCGCCGGCGACCGCGACCTGGCGGAAGAAGATGTCGACGCAGCCGCTCAGAAAGTTGCAGATGAGCATGCGCGTCGACACGTTGTACAAAATCCAGATGAGGCACACGAAGGACCCGACGGCCGTCGACAGCAGCGGCGGGTAGCGGTAGGCGTTCATCGTCGCCGTCGTCCCCGTCGCCGCCCAGAGCAGCCACCCGTGGCGGATCGGCTGGCGCGACGACATTGTGGGAAACGCCAAACGGCCTCCGGCGAGGCGTCGGCGGCGGCGGCGGCGCGGGCGGCGTGGATGTTGCTTTAGGAGCTGATGCACCAGTCGCGTCCACGGCGGATCTGGCCGTCGGCGGGCGTCGCCGGCCTCACCGGCATAATATAGGATGAGCCGTAGTGATTATAATTGCCCAACGTATATATCATAAACGATGCGAGCCACTCGTTTTAAAGTTTGCATCGTCTTCAATATTGGCTGTGCACTCACAGCCATTCATATCCCAAAGTTCATCGAGCTCAGTGAAGTTTATTCCGTCGAGGGTTAGTTTTGCTTATGGCCTCGAGCGTGCGGCCGCGCGCGTCTCCGCGCGCCCACGTATCCCGCCAGCCGCCTCGACGCCCCGCGCTCCTTCATCTGGGTAGATTAAGCTAGACTAGGGAACGAAGGGGAGACAAATCGATCTGCCGACGCCGATGTCCCTGCGAAATAATCACAACGCCGTCGCGCTGGATTATTTAATCTACGTCGGCTAGAAGGGACGCCGGAGGCTGGCCGGCGCCGGCAACCTGCGCGCCGATTTAATTCCATTTTAAATCAACCATAGCCATTGAATTTCGTCAACATTGACGACAACGATACCTCGACAGCCCGGTCCGCATCGCATCTCCGCATCGCTGCGCTCGACCGACGAGATGCTTGGTGAACTGTTGGACGTCCAGAGCTCCGCGAATATGAAGGGACGTGCAACGATCCCAGTGGCTTCGAGGTCCGCAAACATGTGGGCGAGGCACCTGCGAAGACGCGACATCCAAACGATTGCGAGGTGGCGCAAACGGGCAGCTTCAGGGGGTGCAGTGAGGCTCGGCAGCGTCCCCCGACCCAATTTCGGGTCGCTTTCGAGCCACAGAGCGTCGGGAATCGTTCGTCATGGGGGCCACCAGATGCTCTCGCGACAGCTCCTCGGCTCGAGTCGATTTGATCGAGATCATCTCAGCGCCTCCGACGGGCGCGCGGCGCCGCGGGTGACACGGTGCTCACCGCGCAATGAATGAGACGTTCGGTGCGCCAGTGCTAAGCAGAGACCTCCGGGAAAACATTCCAGGGGTGGCTTACCCAGGGTCTAGCGCACCGCTCGACCTCTGGAACTAAGTTGGGCCCCTCGTCGGTCGCCCACCATCGTTAACGGCCGTTCTCGTCATCCACGGGCTGCCCCGACGCGAACCAAGTTGCTCGCCATCGACCGGTGGTCTTTCCCGAGCGACTCGCAGTCGGGCCCGAGGCGCGGCATGGTCCACAGACCGAGCGCCGCGCCAAGTCCTGGAACCGCTGCATCGGACGCCCAGAAAACCGTGGTCGCAGAAGATACCTTGACTGCATGATTCTGTTTTTCAATGGCCATGGTTGGTCCAAAAACACGATGATGGCATATTAAATCATGCGCCATCTGGCAGTACGGGGACCGCGCAGGTCGCTCTTAGATTAAATCGTAGCCCGATCATCAGAAAACGGGACCTCCGAAACCATAGCGCAACTCTGACTTCGTATTAAACCCCCTTAGAACCTAAGATGAAGATTAAGCGGGGAGTGGGCTGGGGGGTCGGTCGCGAACGGCGCGGATAGACCGGGGGGTCCGCCGCGCCGCCTCCGGCTCCCCCCAGGACGATGGAGCTTCGGCGGCGCGGCGCGGGTGGTTTGGGCGCGGGGGCGCGGCGCGCCCGGTGCGCCGCCGGCGCGCGGCCGCCCGGGAGTCGGAGCGCTGGCCCGTCGCGGCTCGGTACTTCTCCCGGGTCGGCGGCCTCGCCCAATCGGGCGAGCGCCGGCGGCGCGTCTCGGGCGCGCCGCGGCCCCGAAAAAGCGCCCTAGGGCTGGATGATGGAGCCCGTCGTGTCCCAGGAGGCCGACGCGCAGACGCAGCCCGTCGTCGGGACGCAGACCTCGGTGATGCGGTTGTCGTGGTTCATCGTCAGCGACTGGAGCGTCGACCCCGCGTCGGGTTTGAACGTGTCCCAGACCTCGATGGTGTTGTCCTCGGTGCCGACGAACATGAGGCGGCCCGACTTGGAGAAGGCGCAGGAGTACTTGGGGATGGACTTGGACTCCGCGGACGACCCGACGAACGTGTTCGCGGCGCCGAGCGTGCGGACGTCGTAGAGGAAGGAGCCCATGGCTTCCGTGGCGACGCCGATGCCGAAGCCGTTGGACTGGTACTTGACCTTGTTGACGTCGATGAGCGTCTTCGTCTGGCCGCGCTTCATGCCCGCGTCCAGATCCGCCTGGTAGAGGCGCATCGTCGACGTCGGCGTCTTCTGGCCGATGGCCCAGGTCATCATGGAGCCGTCGGCGGACGACGTGACGAACTCCTTGAAGGCGCCGGGCTTGAAGTCGCAACTGGTCACGTCCTTGTCGTGGCCCTCGAAGATGAAGCCGCGCATGTCGATGTCCTTGCCCTCGGGGAGCGCGTTCATGTCCCAGAGCGACGCGGAGTTGTCGCCGCTCGTCGTGAGGAGCTTGTTGTCGCCGAGGAAGCGGCCGTTGCAGACGTAGCCCTCGTGGCCCTCGAGGGAGAAGAGGAGCTTGCCCGCGGGGTCCGCGGCCGTCGGCAGCTGCCACACCGTGCAGACGTTGTCGAGGCCGCCGGACGCGCACATGTTCTTGTCGTCCTGGGACGCCTCGGCGAACATGACCCAGGCCGACTTCAGCGGCATGAGG